GACATTTTAAGATTAGCTAACAGATTAGCTAACACTTAACTTCAGATTAAAGGGAGAAACTCTTCTTTCTAAATGCCTTTGTATGGACTCTGTTTGCATTTGTACTTTGGGAAATCATTAAAAAAGCTAGTCGGTGAAGCTAAGATACTGTTAAGCTACTATTACAATAGATGTTTAAGTCCTTAATTTTTTCTAGAAATAACATACAGAGACAGATAACTAAGAGTCATTAAAAACACTTAACTCTTCCTGGGTTAAGCATTTCCCCAAGGGTCAGAGGTTCAACGGACTCCCAAAACAGTGGAATCAGGATGCAACTAGAACACGTCTCCCAAAATTAAAAGTAAAATAGGCTGCAGCATGCTTGGCTGAGTCACGAGCTACACTCACCAGCTTCCTCACTCCAGAACAATACATACATGCCTGTTCACTGAGCTCCTTTAAATACTTTCAGGCTCTCCCTCCCACAGGTGCAGTCACTTACCGTTCTACAATGCAGAATCTACATCATCGCCAACGCCCAATGAGCGATAACGCTGAGTTGCTTAGCAACAGAACCCATACAAAAAAGCGGAAGCGGACGTGCTACTTGTATCTGCGTTTACCTGGCCGTTCAAGCTTTTCGGATCTCTTGCTGACATTAGTTTTCCAGTTCAGTGTTTTCTTGTTATAGCTGTCCGTGTGATGGCTAAAATCGTGATGTGTGAGACGCTTGAGCTCTACAATATCCTCAATCAGTGCCGACGTGTGCCCAGACTCGCAGAGATCAACTACCTGTGTTTGATTGGTAAGAGAAAATCGGCCAGTACCAACATTTGTCTGGTTAGATAAGTCCTATCCTTAATTACTCTATGTGCTTGTCTATGGGTATGAGTGCTATAGCACATGCTTTTTGTTTCTTTAGGAGACTCATTCTCACAACTTTCTGTGCAGATCTGAAAATAGTAACAAAGTCTCAGAGAGCAAAAGATATTATACCCAATTTTGTTCTGGATGATTTTATACTTTTATCAAAACCTTGCCCATTAGCGCAAAAAACAAAACAAACCCGCAGGCTTGATTTAGAGTAAAATGTAAAAAGTGTTCAAACACAAACATGACACTTAATGGATTTACTTGTAACTTTATACAATATTATATTTTGCAAAATAATTTATTTTCTTATTTCACCTGCTCCCTTTAGCAGGGGCGCCTCCAGTCTTTTTATAGTGGTGGCCATATGGGGGCCAACAAAAATATTGGGGTGGCACATTAAAAAACGGAATTTCCAGTTTTATTATGTTGTTGTCAAATATAGGCAAAATTACATATATCTCAAAAAAAAAAGAGAGAAAGAAAAGAATTGATAATGATTGACAAATACAAAAGTTGATATCACTAAAAATATGAAAACCAAATAAGATTGTGAGATTGATAATAATCTGTTTTAATTGATTGATTAATTGATTGATAAACTTGATTCCGTTAGTTGTAACTTTGTTGAGTGTTGTATGTCTCTGTTCCAGATGCTAATGAAGCCAAAGATTACTACAGGAGTCACATCATAACTGCTAAAAATGCTAAAATGGTATGGCTATCATTGGGTCCACAGTTGACATGTGTCTGTCTGTGTGTGTGTGTACAAAAACCCAGAGCTCAAACTACAAATTTCTCCTGTACATTTAGTCAGGCTTTAACCTTTCCTCTAAACTTTTTGCACACGACTGTACCAAAACTTTCAAATTGACTTTTTCAAGGACTCAGAGGGGACATTCCTTCTTCCAGAGCTGGTGGAGGTTGAAAGTATGCGGCATGTGGTGGTCTACGACAACAACACAAGCTCTTTACAGGAGCAAGGTTAGAGTGGTATATAAGAGAGATTTCTTCAGAGCAAGTCCACTTTTATGCATTTTATTTGCATTGTTGTGCCAAAAGAAAACAACTGGTTTCCTGCAAACAAACAAAAATAAATAAATAAAAGCTGTATTTCAGCCTTAAAAGCAATGCTTATTGTTGCTCTCTCCCTGTGATTACAGGCAGAGCAACTTCATGTGCCCAAGTGTTCGCTAAGGCTAGCCTCAATCCAGTCAAGATATTGAGAGGAGGCTTTCAGAGATTCTCAGCTCAATACCCTTTTTTGAGGACTGAGAAAATCCTGAACACCATCATGGTAGAAC